GAAATGTTCGTGGTCAGCTGCAGTCTTTACTGACAATGCGCCTTTGTCAACGAAGAGATTTTTGTTCTTAAGATGGCTCTGGAGATGTCTCATTTCATGTGATGGAAATAAGTTTCCTATAGGGTGTTTGGGAGGATGCAATAAAGATTCCTTCAGCTATCCAGATGTTAAAATATCAGAGAAATTCACTCGTTTCTTCACAAAGCCAGATACACGGGCTTTTTATGCAGAACTCTGTTTGTAGGGAAGACAGATTTTCCTCAAATAAGTCAACCAGTTTAATCACATTGCATTCCTAAATAGCTGCAACTTTTCAGTAGCAGCACTGACAAGCTCAACAACGCATATTTCGATTCTCTGGATGTCTGCCCATGACTCATTTTCATTTTCAGGGACATTGGGCGGACTGGAGAAATGCACCATGAGGAAAGAACTGGCGATGGGGGCTCAGGCCTAAGGTGATGTGCTACCTCACAACAGTGAAGGCTCAGTGCCTACTGAAACACTGCGACTTCCACATGTCAGAGGGAGGAAGATTTATGCACTTATCAAATTATGTATAAAATCTAGTGTCACTGTACTGATTCCATTAGGGCACTCATCAACACAGCTCAGATTTTGGCTCTGATTCACTAGAGGCTGAGGCTTGCTTGATTTCCATAGGTCTGCTCCTATGTTTGATGGTAAAGGCGAGCTTTAAATTGTTTGCTGAATCAGGCCCATTTAAGGTCACCCAATGTATCCCACGTTAAAGCTGCACTGCAACAGGTCTGCTGAAACCTACCCAGCATAGGAATGGACTCTGCAGGATGTATTACATACAAATAAATATGTGGATTTTGGGAAGCACAGTATCAGGAAGAGGTGGCCATAAAAAAAGGGGAAAAGCCCCTCAAAACAGGGCAAAGCAAAGGACTGTGCTCTCAACTATCATATCAGATCAACCTAGAGTTTTCATTCACATTATTTACTAACAGGTGGCATTTATGAGAAAATTACAATGCAGCAGTGAGCAGAAAAGAAAGCACTTGTTCCTCTTTGGAAGAGGGTTTTTCTATCTTTTTTGTTGTTGTTTTTGTTGCTGTAACTAATTTATCTATTTATTTTTACAAAGCAAGCCCAGTTAGTGAAAATTATTTTATGCTCCCTTGCTACTATACCAACAAAATGAAATCCGAGTTCTTGCATGATGTGACATGTAAACCATTTGTGCTGAAGTGAATGCCAGAAATAGATGGAAAGTTTTTATCCTGAAGAAACACTGAAATAAAATGCAAGCATAATCTAAAATTATTCGCTGACAGTAACTGCAGGATTTTTTGTGTCTTCTCTTTTTAATCATCAATTTAGCTGAGTCCGGCTTTCAACAACTTAGCACATCTGCAGAGAAAGTGATGTGTTTTCCCTTATCCTGTTCAGTAAATCTGAAAACTTTTTTTTTTTAAGGAAGACATAAACCAATTTTGTTTGCAGTTCATGGGAAAAAACCCCCATCAGTAGTGCTGCCATCTAAGGGAAAGCACACATGTTTTCAAAGCAAGTATTATGAGTGTGTTCATAACACTAACATTTAGCTGGTTTCATTCAGCTCCTGAGGCAGGTCATGTTTTAAAAGCTGGACAGCCCCAGCTTCACCTAATGCTGTGATCACAACTGTGTGTGCTTATCTCAGCCTTCTCATGTGCCACGATTCAGCTTAATTTCCTTTCCTTAAGGCAGTTAGATGTCAACAAAAATAGATAAATGGTTTCTATCTTTTCCATAATATAACTTCAGATATTCCAGATAGCCACTTGCTCCTTTGCTCAGAGAAAGTTAGAACTGAGTGCCCATTTTTCTGCACCAGGGAAAAAAGTGACAGTTCATTAACTTCGGCTATGAAACTCTAAAATTACACAGTCACATCCATCCACCTCGTCTCTCCTACAGAGCTTCTCTGTTATCACAAAGCCTATTCAAAATTTCCCCAAGGGCCAAGACCAACACAAAAAGAGTCTAACTTCGTATGAAACCAAAAGCGTGCCCTGTTACCCACCATCTGAGACACCCCCGCTGACCCCGTTCCTTCTAGTGCTGTTATTTCAGACCTGTATCAGTTCTCAGTTTGACCACAGCTGGGAGCACTGATCTCCACCCTGCCCCCCCTCCCAGGCCGGCGTAACATTAGTTTGAACCTTTTATTCATTCACTGATGAAAATATCGAGAGGTTTCTTTAAATGACAGCGACATGCCTGGACGACTGAGCAGCCAGAAGGATTCTTTAGCATTGTGGAAATAACTGGCTATCAGAGACAAACTGCTTTGAAGTTACCACTTGCAGCACCCAGAGATCAGTTTTTACTGGATTACTTTCATGGCAAGCCTTTTTTTTTGTCCCATCTGAAGAGTTTCTTTGTGAGCAATGAATGAGGGTGCATCTTGGGAATGATCTGATACTTCAAAAGATGACTCTTGCAGTTTATCTTGCAGTAAGCTTCTCTTCTGAAGGAAATGCTGCACAGGCCTTGTATTGATCACAACGATAGCGCATGCAATGTGCCTTTTATCACTGGGCTGGCTGCACTATCACTTTTCAATATCACTCCAAAGCGAATCCTTGCAAGCGAGGGCTTTTATTAATTGCTATATGTGTAGATATACGCTGTCTTTTACAATGAAACATTTTTTTCTGCAAAGAGTTCAAAACAAAGCTGGTCCTTCTGAAGTCAATTAAACTTTACGCACTGCCTGGCAAAGAACTGCAATTTAGACCATTTTGGGAACAATAAAGTTATCTGTACATTTAAAAAACAAGTTTGTTTTTTTCTTTTTAAGTTTTGTTTCCTTTTCTGAGTTTTAATGGAGAAAAGAAAAAGAATTCACACATGAAAGCAGCTAGACAAAGATAAAATTTTATGGTCAGAAAAGGAAAACTGATGGCCTGTGTCAGCTAACACACGTTTCTAACCAGCACTCAGTCTGTAGGAGCGATGAAGACTGACGCTTAAAACCATACCACATTATCACATTGTAAGCAACACTCCCCAATAGGTTTCTACATACCCACACAAAAGTTGATTTTGAAGGTGTTAAACACTTAAGTGCTTTAAAACCAATAAATTTTTAACTTAAAAAAAGCCATGGTCATAGCTGGTTTTTTTTAAATAAGAAAATAATGATATAGTAAGTTCTACGTGTGAGAGCCACTATCCATGCCTATGCCCATGTACTTTATTTGTCATTGGTCACTGAATAATTCAATTATTTTAATACTCTTTAGCATAACTGCAATGACAACTGAATGCTTGTGTAAACATGGTACAAACTTGCATGTGGATGAGAGTACTAGCTAATAGGTTTTGAAATACAATTTCTAGTATGCAAGCATTAGATACTTGAGCATACGCACATCCCTTGCATAGCAATTCTGGCAACATTTTCTTACAGCAGGTCTTGGTACGTTTCTGTCTCAGTAGATGCAGTCAATTTCTGGGTCTTTCAACTTTTCTTCCTATAGAGACTACATGATAATGAACAAACTCCTGCTCAGTTCTGTAGATATTTTTTCTTTATTTCATGTAGAACTTTTCAAAAATGCCCTGTTGGAAACCTTACAACACTCTGTAATTTTAGCTTAAAGAAATTTAAGGATCAATAGCAATTGAAGCTGTAACTGGGAAATGGAAAATTACAGCAATTCAGGAACAATCTCTCCTTTTCTTCAAACTCTGTTTTGAGTTACAACATGATCAATCCTCACTGACCTCAGCAGAGAGATTCTTTCAGCTTTGGATTAGGCTACACCCCCAACACACAAGTTTGCATATGCTTTTTATGACGAGGATACTTTGCTAAGTTTAGCAAGATGATATCATTTTCTATTGCTTCCTGCCTTCATTCACACTGATGCTGAAACCCAGGCGGTCATAGTTACATCACACGATGATGAGAAGACTCTTACAGTAACTAATAATAACAACAGATTGCTTTTTACCAACGTGAGCAAGGCTAATTTCTATAGTACGATGTAAAATGCAAAGTGGACCTCTTTTCAGTTTCTCTTCTCAGCAGTTCTCCCTTTCCTGTCTTTAGCCTAAGTGTTACTGCCATGGTGGTTGTGATACTCAGAACAGAAAATGGAAACAAAAAAATTCACGAGCAGGCAATGAAACCAAATGGCACCCAACACGCGTGCAGCACAGTCGCTCCTCGATGCACTTCAGAGATGCTGTGCCAAGCTAACAGCAGCTGATTCTGGGGGCAGGGCCAGCAAGCGTGGAAATGGGGTCAAAAAGCAAGGAGCTGGCAGGGCTTCCCTACCAGCATTAATGCAGGAGAGGGCCAGACCTTCTGCCAGTGAGCTCATGTTGGAGCCAAGGACAACCAGGAGAGCTGCTGGGAGAGGGGCAACAGTGGCAGGGGGCCTAGAGAGACTGGAGGTGGTCTTTAACACCTGGCGTGGGAAATAGCTGTGATTTTGGCTGCCACATCCACTTGAGCTGCCTCCAGCACGGTCCTATTTGGAATCATTCAGTAACATATGGGAGCAAGCACCGAACCCGTGTTCACAGAGATGGAAAATCAAAGGCATGACAGGGTGTCATTTTCACAAGTATCTGTGTATTATTTCAGGCAAGATACCTGGGGATCAGCAAGAGATTTGTCTTAAAATAGGTACTTCAGTAACTTTCACCCTACCTGTCTGGCTTCATGTGCAAAAGATGTCAGTATCACCACAGAAGCTAGATTGATGGAGTTTCAGAAAAGAGCTACATACCTATCCTTCAGTAAGCAGTAATGATTTTATTTAGAAGCAGTGATAAGTAATTGATTACTTTTTCAAAGTAACCACGACAGCTTCAATTCTGGCTGGAAAGCAATTGTTTTTGGAGGCACAAGTAACTTCAATTGCAGAGATGGTTTTAGAAGTAGTGTTTTAATGTGGGATAAAAACCCAGAAACATCGAAGATAAAGCACGCTGCTGCATTAAAAGAAAAGTAAAAGCCTCCAGAAACTTACCACTGAGGTTAGAGCCATCTGAAAGCTGTAGATTCGTGCAAGGCCAAAGTCAGCCAACTTTATTTGCCCATTGCTGGTGACAAGGATATTCTGAGGTTTCAGGTCCCGATGCACCACACGATGTGAATGCAGAAAGTCCAGTCCCCGAAACAGCTGAAGCATCATATCCTAAATACAAAGAAGAAGTCAATATACAATTACCAATACAAGGTGGCAAACAAGTAAACTCCCTGTCATACTCTGTAAAATTAATTTAGTAAATATGGACTTAAGTATGTGCACAGCACATTAAAAACACCTATTAATACTTGGATAGGATGTTGCTAGAACCAGCTGACTTGAACAGGTGTCCTTATCAAGTTAATATATTGTTTCTAGTTGAATTATTTGAGGTTGATTGATAGAAGTATGAAGACTCCTCAACATAATTAAAAGAAATAGCAAAAGCATGTCTGTAAATCCCAAGACAACTTCAATAGAATGCTGTCCAAGTAAGAAAAATACATAACAGCTTTTTGCTCTTAAGTTTAAACCATACACCACTTTGCACCTCACAAATTTATGCTTTGTCCTGCCCCATTGAAGTGAAATTCACATTCACTTCAACGGGCACAAGCATCTGTTTCAATCAGAGAAGCTATTTAAAGGACAATTTTGCCAGAATTTAATGTTGCAGAGGGAAAAAGTTTACTTGGCAAAGCCTGCTGTATAGAATTTACTGAATAGGACAGAAACTACCTTTAGATCAAAGCTTAGCACTAAATCAGTGTAATAATCATAAGTACCAGTTCTCATTTTGCTTTGTTTTGTTATAGTGATGCGATCTTCTATGACATTTCCACAGCTGAAGAAACTATTTCATCTGCACTCATGTTTTCACATTAATCTTAGTAATGTGAAAGGAATGAACCAACAGACTCAAACCTAAATACTAGAAATCCCCTGAATTACAAGTTAGAAAGATACTGTCAACTGAAAAAATTTATTTGCAAAACAGGCAGTTACAAGAAGATACTGCAACAAGTAAGAAATAAAAGGGATAAAGAACAAGTTAATTTTATGTATGCACTTGACTTGTGTTCATGAAACTCCAGCTCTGTGTCTGCTGGTGACACGAGCCCGGTCCATAAGCCGTGCAGCAGGGTGCCCACCAATCCTATTGCTAGCAACCAAAATGATCTTGAAGAGGTGGATGGCATGAAACATGGGAAAAGGCAAGAAGAATAAGTTGAAGTCGGTTGCTTTTGTTCTCTATGGACTTGGGCATTTTTCAAGTAAATAACCAAGGCACACTATTAAAAGGAATTATATCTGAAAAAAGGTTCAAGAATAGCTCAAAACATTCAACTTGAGAATATTGCTTCAGCTGGATACATTTTTAAGATACACTTTGCTATGTAATTAGTTAATTAAATTAAATTAACTAATTAATTAATTAAAATCATAATTTTCATGTAATCTTCCCTGATAATCTCTACAGAAAGTATCATAAAATGTATACATATTAAGGGGAGAAGCTCTAATCTGACCTGTGATAAAACATGGCCACTTCTACATATAGCCTATAACTCTGCCAAACAGCAGTGACAGTGGGCTGCTCATGAAGTAGTCAGTTTTCACTTGAAGACCCTGATCATGGAGATATTATCATGGAACTATGGATGCTGTGACAGCACTTAGTCATTGTCACCTCTGAAGGACGGTGGTTATAGTAAACTGGAAACCCCATTCCCTGTTGGTTGATGCCTATTATTCCCTTTGCTTCCCCAGGAGAAAACGAGATTTGATAATTTTGATAACTAGTATAATAGGGTTTGCTCCTTTAAAACAAACATAACAGTATGCATTGAATCCTCTTGCATTTACACAATTTCCCTTGGCGGTTCAGAAATACGTGGAAGAGCTTGGACTACAGCTCTGCAGGTTTCAGTCATCAGCAGAATTAATACCTGTCACATCTGCTCACTCTGTGCTATTTATTATAGCTTAAGTCAAATCCCAACAGTCTTTGGATCAGTCTTGCAGATGTAAAGAGCATGCCCAGAACACTGAAGTGCATGGTTATCTTAAGTAAGCACTTAATGGTTTCACTGAATTTAGGCCTATTTTGGTTTTATTCCAGGTAGACATAATATCAGAGAAAATGAGAAAATAAAGAACTTAAAGAACTTTAGGATTAGTCAGTAGACTCTGGTGAGTCCCTTTTCGGTGACATTTCTGCATCCTACTCATTTGTCAAGTATGTAAACTCATTCCTGCAGTTACCAAACATATCAAGAATAATTTTTTTCCTACAATTGATGCTGGTTTTGTTTCGATTTTCTTTCTCAAGCTCAGCAAGTGCAATTCTGCTCTGCTAGTTACAAGTTGCAAGCAACATCTTCAGTTTCTAAATTCAGAGTCTTCTTCCAGGCATGGGTAAAAAAAGAAAATATTTGAAAATGGAAACTGG